CTCAGGATCCAGGACTCAGGATCCAGGACCACAGCAACAAGGTTAAAAGGTCACAAAAAACATTTTAACATGTACAAGCATGTCCGTGAGTTTTAAATTGATTAAAGGCTTCTTAACCTTTGCCAAAACAGTGCCTTGGATCTTTCTTTGTTTTATATTAAAGAGTTATTTAGCACTTTATAACTGCTGGTGATTTTAACACAGCGTGATGGACTCCAAGGCAAAATAATGTAGACATTCTTGCAATGCTTTAAAATGACCACTGAGTGGCAGTCAGATGCATAAAACAAAAACACAAAAGTGCTCATGAAACCAGGCTTGTTCCCCCTGAATAAATGTATGGAGAACCCCTCAGTGCTACATTAAAGGGTTATGTCAACCAATTGTATAATTCATCACATATATGACTGTGTTTTCTGAATCTTTGTTTGTTTTTGTAAAGAAAGTATTCAAATGTTTTATTTTTTAGAAGGAAGTCCTCATACACTGTTTACAACATGTTGTCCAAACCCATAGGTAGGATTTGGCAAGTTAAAATATAGGGCTAAAATATATACATTAAGAACTTTTAAAAGACAGCAAAACAAAAACTATTTATTTGGTGGACTCTTTGAAAAGGAAAAAACTGAATGTAAAAAAGAATTTAGTAAATGTAATAATGTTCAATATCATATAAAGAACAGTACAATTTATTTTAATCTCGTAGTACACTATCACATTTCTAATTGTTACATTTTTTGTATTACCTTTTTGATTTTAGCAGGTTCCCTCCTTGACCCCATAGAAGCTTGCCCCCCTCCATAAATTGCCCCTGAAGTTGGTCATTTCCTCCAGCAGGCGGCGGTAGTTCAATAAAGAGCACCGCAGCTGCAGCAATCCTCACACAGAAGAAGACCTTCTCCTCCGTTGTAAAGTGACCTCTGGTGCTGTCAGTCTCTCTACCACGATGGTTCCCCCAGTTGTCGTGTCGCCTCTGATAAAGGTTTGTTTTGCAGTATATAATGTGTAGGAAAGTTACTCATGTTTTACTGTAATTTAATTTTGAAATCGTATTCCAGCTCGCTAGCTACACAGCACACTCTATCCTGCTAAGCTAACTGTTAGCATGCTAGCAGCTAACGTTAGTCGTAACTTTACAACGTTACTACAGCTTGTAACTAGGCAAACACAGACTAATCCATTAATTTGTGTTTTTATTAACAATGCATGTGTTTAATTGTATTGTATATTGTGATGTGCATTCACTCTCGATGTTGATATCTAACAGTCACACTTTAGTGTCTCAATTGAAACGACGTAACGTTTGAGCTAACATGTTGCTAATGTCCTTGGGTTAAATGACTTAAGTCTATTAGAAAACATTATATAAATACTATGGCATCTTTTATCTTGGTTTAAACCAAGTTAACCTAAAATGAATTGTTATTAATTTCAGCTGTTATTAGCGTTTTCGTTTCGATTTGTCCTTGCTGTCGTCCACTGTTTGGGGGTGACTGTAAACAGGCGGACAGTCTGTTAAAGTAGATACGATTTTAATGAAACCAATGCTCCTCAGTGGATACTGTTTTGGCAGAATGAAACTCTTAACGAATCTGGAAACTCTCTTAAATGTGTAGTTTGACATGACCAGTGACATGACCAAGGTCTCAATACATTCCTGCAGCACTGTAAAGAGATCAATGGGTGTAGTAACAATATAATAAAGCTAAGTGATGATAACAACAGCTTCTAAAGCAAGAGCTACGCAGTGGTCTGTAGATATGTCACCTGATAATGCATTTAATTGGTAGGAAATGTAACATTGGCATTCATTTGCATGGTTTTGTCCTTCACAGACCGCAAGGTATTCAGCTCTGATTGCCGGCATCATCTATGGCAAGCAGAGACTTGGTAAGTTCTTATTTATTATTTACTGGAACAGTGCATTGAGTTTAAACTACCATTGTGTACTTAATATAACAATAGGTTATCCAACAATAAAGAGAAGAGTTTGACTCCAAACCAGTGGATTGGATTCCATCAATTGATTTTGATTCTTGATTTAGGATATAGTGATGCTAGTTTGAGGATATATTCTAGTCTGCTGTGCCCTAATAAAGTCAATATAGCAGGTAATGCAAGGAAAACAGAGTTAAGTGTGTATAAGATAATGGCGTTTTTATATTGGTAAAAGTTGCATTAAGTGATTGCCATAACGTAAACACACAAAAGAAAACTTAATACAAGAGGTAACATTTGATTCATGATAAACTTGCAAAAATAAATACAAGAGTTATATATTGTAATGAACTTGGTAGGCTTAAGCTTAGCTGCCTTTTTGATTTCACAGCAACATGGCAATTTCTAAAATAAATGAAATATTCCTGAGTTCCTGCGGCATCTTATTTACGGGGATGTAACAGTTCAGGCTTTGATCAGGTATATGTGTATATACAACTCTTGCTTCGTGCATATTAACAGGATATATATACTTCAGATCATTTCCCATAATAAATGTATTTTTCTTTTAAATAAACAGAGTACCTGAAGCCTCTTGGGGTTGAGGATAAGAGGATAGCAGGGGAGGAGAAAAAGGCTCTTGATGAGAAGATTCGCATCGCCAAGGAGATCGAAGGTAACCATATCTGCTTCCTTTACATGAAAAATGTTCAGTCTGTACATGCATATACCTGCATGCTGTACAATTAACAGGGAGTGAAGGCAATACCAGTGTACACTATAATACAGTTGGTGTTGCACAACCCATTCTACGTGTACTAATCCCACTTTCTCTGTCCTTACAGCAAATCAAGAAAGTATCCTGAAGTAAAGCAGATGAAGATCTCCATGTAATATTCCCAACCTCTCCCTTCTTCTTCCTGGAATAACAACAGCCCAGTACCCTTTAGTCAAACAGTTCCTGTTTTCTGGATGCATTCATGGTTACCTTGTATAATACAACCCCTCCCTGGATTGCCAGATGCAGTGATTTTAAGTTAACCATCTTGAACTCGGCATTGTAATACTCAAAAGATAATAAGTGTTTGTAATGAAACAATGTCATAAATACAAATTGAAATGATCACTATGGAGTTTGCCTTTTTGTGCCCTTTGGATTGGTGTTCCCATAAAGCCACTGACACAGTACAGGTATGATGGACGTTATATTAAAATGATATGAAATGGAAAAACACCATCTTCATTAAGTTAAGAAGTTTGTCACGTGTTGCTGTTGGATAATGTTCAGTTGCTTCCTATTCGCCAACATCTTTTTGAGCACTGGTTCACCTTTAAAAAATCTACTTCACTTATTTTTCTGTATTTTATCATGTAAGAAGCATTACATTGATAAGAGATGAATGTGCACAAACTACATGAGATACATTTATCAAAGTTGTATTTAATTCTATTTCATATACTAAATCTATAATGTCAAATATATATTTTGTTTTGTCTGACAAACAATCCAAAGCCCCAAACACTGAGCTAAGTATCACAAAAAGACAGCACAATTCCTGCCCTTTAAAAGTATGTGTTTGAAAAATTACTTTGATTGTAAAAATAATTTCCTTCAGTTCTGAGCATTGGTGGATAAAGTGCCTAGATATTTTAAATAAGAAATTCCACATTTTACTGTCGTAGAAGTATTTCCAAATGTTAAATGATTTACACTCCAAAAAATCCCACAATAGTTTGATACAATTTGGGATTTTCTTTTTTAAATATACCTGCAGTCACTTTTGGGTCTTGTGTTTTTCAGAGTGAAGGTCAATGCTGACAGTATAGTTGCTCAGATAACATGTATCTAGCAGCAGACCAACTGAACCCTCACATCTTACGGAGATGTTTGTGTTTTCTCAGAGCCAGCAGCTAAACACCTAACAGAGACTTGACATGGTTCAAATCCAAACACGCTGAACTCGAGCTCACCTCCAGTTAAGCAAGAGTACGTCTTTGTGTCCTGGATCATTTAAACCAAGCTTTTGTTTTCAGATTAGACATGCAGAGTTAATACTGTTGACATGTCACGTGTTAGATTGAGCAGTGCAGGATGTCAAAGCCCGGAGACCTTACCTAATATACTGAAGACAGGTTGTTATTAGAGTAAAAACAATGCCAGGGCCAGCGATAAACACAGTACAGACTTACTGGCATGCTACTTGTGTTTACTTAACTCTCAACTACTGTAGTTTACAGTAAGAGTAGTTAAAATACACCATATCAACAGATTATGGAACTCAAAAACTAAGGCATCAGCTAATGCATGTTTTTATATTGTATGAAATAATTCGTTTTTACTTTAAACAAATTGCATGTTAGGACAAAATTAGTCAATTAATGAAAAGTAGAAAAACAAAATAGATGATAGAGGGAAAAATATTTTTCAAATGATTAAAAAAAATCAATAAAAAGAGGCCAAAAACAAAAGCAAGTCTACAAAAAGGCTTTGGAAAATATACTGATGAGACATTTTGAGTGCAAAAGCAAATTAAGTCTGTAAATGCATCTGTTGCAGCAAACATTCTTTAAGGTAAGATACCCCACTCTAGTTTAAACCTTTGTAAAGTGCACTCACTTTGGCATTTGTATGCTCCAATGCTGGTGCGTGAGTCGTTTAAACTTCATGTAATACACCTCAGATGTTTTTCTATAATTCACACTTTGCCCCCGCGGATTACAGGTTGAAGCTCTTGCAGCGTTTGGGAATAAGATGACAGCACGTTACAGAGCAAGTGACCACCTGAGCCTCTGCTGACGTCTCATGACTGGGCGTCATTATTCTGCAGACTATTTTATAACATAACATATTTGGTTTGTTTTTTTCCAGTGGGGGTACATGTGGAAATGCTTCCTTTTCTTTGTTTTTACATACTTTTTGCTTACTTGTCTGAATAAAAGTAGATTAAAAAAGGAAAACTTTACCGTCCAGTCATAAACATTGTACTTTATTTAAATACTTTCCAGAGATTTGGGAACATTTTACCAAAAGATGTATAAACATTTTAGATTTTTTTGTCAAAATAAAATCTTATCTCATCTTTAATTAATCTATTATTCACTCTGTGGCACTATATCACTTTTTTATTCAGCAGGTATGATGCCACAACACTTTATATTTGCACGTGGTTCTATCAACACTAGTTTGGTCATGTAAACATTTGGCATGGACGTGTGATTTGAGGCTCAGGTCATGCAAACAATTACATAAAACCCACACACCGCTGAATGTGAGGGTTCAACAGCTTACTAGCAGGGGATTTTGGTAACTGGATTAGCGATAGATTAAACTCTGCATTTAGGTTCAAGAAGTGAAAATAATCAGTGAGCCTGTCTGAGCATCTGATATAAAAAGGCTCACACGGCGTCTCCTCACCACAGCTCAGACTGCGACAGATCCGCACTGAAACTTCTTCTGCACTTCAGGTAAGAACACGCTGCTTTGTGGGGACCAAATGTTTTTTTTACAAACTAAATGAGTTGCAAGAGTTTTCTTTCAGCCAGATTCAGCAAGCTGCTCTAAAATAAGGAAAATTCATACTAAATTCAAATCTGCTCACTTTTTTTTGGCCAGAATGGACTTCCAAATGTTCTCCCTGGCGATGTTGCTGCTGGCCTGTGTGGAGCAGAGCCTGGCCTCCTGCGTGGTGGACAGCTTCTCTGTGAAAGCCGACTTTGAACCAGCAAGAGTGAGTAGAGAAATATTTTAAAGTATTTAAATCCGTTCAATTGCAAGTTACTGTAACTCAAAACCGTTTACAGTATACTCATTTGTAGGTTCAGGGCAGAGAGCTAAATGAACAAAGAGGACAATTTGATCAACATCCTCCAAAGTACATCAATGCATCATTCGCAAACAATTGAATATAATGTTGCATATTGTGTACTATCCTTCCATTATTATACAAAATACACTGAGATTTACACAACAATGAATCCCAAGGATTATGGACCTTTCAATTAAAAACGGAATGGTACAAATCAGTGATTTGATTGGCCAACATTTTCTTTTTTTGTACCAAAGGATTAGGCCTAATCAGGTCAGAAATCTTGGTGTAGTGTAGACCTACATTCCACAACCCGCAAAAACAAGATTACAAAATCCGGATACTTCTACCTCAAAATATATAACTAGCCTAAAAGGAATCATGTTTTAGCATTTGTCTCAAATACACTTGATGTATGTATTCTTTACTAAAATCTGGGGTATAGGAATGGATCACATTCGAAATAAGCCTTATTTTTTCAAGCGCATATCCATATTTTACTGATGAAATGGCTCTCAACATATTTGCCCTAATGATTTGTCTCCACAGTATGCAGGAAAGTGGTACGCTCTGCAGAAGAAGGACCCTGAGGGTTTGTTCCTGCAGGACAACATCTCTGCTGAGTACACCATCGGAGAAGATGGAGCCATGGTCGCCGCCTCCAAGGGCAGAGTTACTCTCTTTGGGTGGGTATTTAAGTGGTGGAAAGTAATTAAGTACTTCCATCCAAGAACTATACTTAAATACAACTTTAAGGCCCTTTTGCAAAAGTGCAATTTCTCTCTCTTTTGCTCCAGGTTCTGGGTGGTGTGCGCCGACATGGCCGCTCAGTACTCCGTGCCCGACCCCGCGTCCCCCGGCAAGATGTTCATGAACTACCAGGGCCTGGCCAGCTACCTTTCCAGCGGAGGTACGTTTCGTTAGGACCAGCCTCAGGTTCCCATGCCAAGTCTCTAAGGCCTGAGCCACTGATGCCTAAACACTTGATGTACTTTGTGTTACCTTTTGAGTCAGATAACTGCTATATAAAAAAGGTTTGAGGAGAGGATTGTACCCACACATCCTCTCAGTCTCTTTCTCACACAGCAGAGACTACTGTAACTTCTTGTTCTCTGCTCTTTCAGGTGACAACTACTGGATCATTGACACAGACTACGAGAACTACGCCCTCACCTACGCCTGCCGCACCCTGATGGACGATGGAACTTGCGACGACGGATACTCCCTGCTCTTCTCCCGCAACCCCCGCGGCCTCCCCCCCGCCATCCAGAGGATCGTCCGCCAAAAACAGGAGGAAATCTGCCTGGTCGGCGAGTTTCAGCCTGTGCTGCAGACTGGTACGTAACTCAGTACATTTACTCAACTCCTGTAATTAATTAAGTATACGTTTGAGGTACTTCTACTTTAATCGAGTATTTCTATTTATGCTATATTTAATACTTCTACTGTGCTACATTTTGGAACTCAATATTGTACTTAATACCTCTCGCCATTTATGTTTATTAATATTGTCATGTTCTAAACATTTCTTGTCACTACGCCCTCGAAATGACTCCCTTCACAATAAGAATGTGACCTTTTTGGTTCATTACAATCGGGCAAGTCTAGAAAAATCACAAGACTGAATGTAAAAGCTTTTAAAAAGTTAACTTCGTGGACAAGTATTCATCTCTGGATCTTAACAACTAATTTGAAAATATTTTTGTAATTTTATTTGTTACATTTTAATAAATCTAACACTTGTTTCTCTCTCTTTTTTTAACAGGAGCCTGCTAAACTTCTTCTTCTGGAGTTTCTGTATATACCGGATGATCATCCTGCCCAAAATGAAGACATAGCCCTTCTCAAAGAAAGAATAATAATTATGTTATGCTTATGATGTTCAAACGTCATAAGAGAGACTTCGGATATATCAAATGAAATGTCTCATGGAAGAATTAAATCAACCCTGCCAATGATAAGATTAATACTAATGTACTTACCAAAATTCAATGAAAAGTATTATTGGTTGAGGTAATGTGAGGAAATAAGCAACCACACAGTATGTTCATGTATCTGATCTGTGTTATCATTCTGTATTGGTGACAATACATTTTGTAAAGAAACTTGAAGTTGTTGTCTGTGTCTTTGGAAAAACTGCCATGTTAAATTTGGTGATCCAACTTTTACTTATCTTACACACAAAAATATTTCCACATTTATATAAAAGAGTATAAATAAAATAGAGTATTACACATTTTGAAAAAGATAACAAAATCATCATGAATCCATTACATTTGTTCTGATTGTAACAGTTTTTAACAGTGTCATCAGTTAATTACTTATCTCATCCCTTTCGTACAAATAGGTCGCATTTTCTGCTATCATCTGTCCAAAAGATCATGAGCATAAATGATAAATGCATGCTAACAATGTGATAAGAAAGGTGACACAGCACCCATACTGTATAAAACATATCCAATCAGCACAGTGATCTCTATCAAATGTATTTACATGGTAGAAAACTGTTAAGAAAATTATTTAGAAGTTTATTTCTCCTCTGAGTACCTCTCCGGCAGCGAGTACTGGCCGGGCCTCCCCCAGTAGTCCACAGCTCGGACTCTGTACAGACCGCCCACCTGCAGGTCTACTAAGAAACACAAAAGGGTATATGGTAGTATTTCGTTTTTAAAAAGGTGAAGACATTTAGCTGAAATGTTGTTCGTCATTGACAATCCTTGAAATCATTTCGTGGGAATCCTTACCAGGTGAATACACATAAGAAGTGAAAATGGTGTTTTGAGTATTAATTCTGCTGAATTCCTCGTGGTCTGGGGAGAACTCCACTTCAAAAGTCTTAATGCATCTGCAAAAAAACAGAGAAGTTAAAGTGCATAGTGATGGCTTTCTTGTTCTTAGTCCCATGCATATTACATATTAACTATTAATCTACTGTAATAGAGCAAGCAGTATGAGAAGGAACATTTTTAAACGCACAACACTGTGTCTTTTTTAAATAAATCAGACTGCAAACCGAGTTGCCACTAATGTTTTCTCAGCTTATTTCTGAGATAGCTAAGAATCAGACATTCAGCAGTTTTTTCTTTACAGAAGCTGAATTATCCGCAGAGGTAACCTCCTCTAGAAAAACAACAGACCTGGTAATTAAAACAGGTAAATACACTGAAAAAGCAGATTCATGTTACAAATCATTGTTTCTTTGAGGCGATTTGGCAGACATGGGATTGAGGTTCTGCGAGCTAACTGCTTAAGATTGCCGAGATAACAGATAAATGTGTTTACCACAGCTTCTTGAAGACAACCACAGTGCTGACGCATGTGCAAAGATGGATATGTCACCATTACAGGAGACCAAGTCAAATCTCACCCTTACTTTAATTGAAATTACAGATTTATCTGGGTTTGAAAACTGTTAGCAACGTTTGGGATAACATAGGTACAAAACTATTACAAAACAACTATAGGTAACTCTTTTTTACAAGGTTTGTAACTGAGGTGTGGTCGTTTATATACATTTTTATGTGAAAATGAACCTTCAAATGATTAATCTTTACATACTTTCACTCTTTTACATGTTTTGCAGTGAAAACAAAAAGAAAATAAATAATTATGTCACCTACTTGGAATCAACACAGTGGTCCGACCAGACGATCAGGACCTGGCCCTTGGTGATCCTGATGAAGCGTAACCCATTAACCTAAACAGAAGTTAAATATAGTTGAGAGTTCATCTCTTTTGAAATATGCAGCTTAGTACCATGAAGGTGTTTGTCTGTTGGCTGTTCAAAACGTAAATCCATCAGGCTTTCATCATAACATTCAGAACATAATCATCATACAAGCTCCAGTATATACAGAAATCAGCTGCCAGGGTTCTCACACGCACCAAGCCCTGGCAGAACATCACCCCCACTCTCTTCAACCTCCACTGGCTCCCGGTGAAGTCCCGCATCACTTACAAATTCCTCCTCCTCACCTACAAGTCCCTCCATGCCCTCTCCCCTCAGTACCTCACAGATCTCCTCCACCCATACATCCCGTCCCGCACCCTTCGATCCTCAGACTCTGGCCTGCTCTCCATTCCACCTTCACGCCTCCGCACCTTCGGGGACCGTGCCTTCAGTGTCGCTGCCCCCACCCTCTGGAACTCCCTCCCTGCAGAAATCCGCAACACCCCTTCTCTGAACATCTTCAAATCAACCCTGAAAACTCATCTGTTCAACAAAGCCTTCCAACAATAACTCACTCTTCCCCCCCCACTGCAATGTTACACTTCCATTTCTGCCCCCTGTTTTATGTTTTATGTCTTATGTCTTGTCCTTATATGTTTCTTTGTAAAGCGACCTTGAGGTTATGAAAGGCGCAATATAAATTCAAGTTATTATTATTATACAACACTAATTTACTTGTCTTACTTGCATTGACACAGACATACTGTATATGCTTAACTATACATAAGATAGTATTTAACGTATGGAGAGTTAAAGATAAATAACATTTATGAGCACTTTAAGGTGGACTGTAAAACACATGAAAACAAGGTGAACCATTATTTTTTCTTTGTGGTTGCGTGTTGACACTGACCTGGTCTGGCTCAGCTTTGGGTCGTGCACAGATATGTACGAGGAGGACGGAGGGCAGAGAGAGTCTGGCTCTCAGAGTCAGAGTGTCCCCAGCAGGAACCTCACGGGGTCCATCCACATGAGGGTCCTGAAAACAATGACAAATCATTAGTGGATCAAAGAATGTCTCACAGCAACTCACTGAGAAGGAAAAGCCACAAATAGATCAAAGGAATCAGCTCTGCTGCAGCATCTCATTAATAAGATAGCGCCGGTATCAGAAAGTGGAGCTCAACATGTTGATTAAAGCTGCAAGAATTATACACATGGAAATACCCGGTGACAAAACTGAAAATATAAAAAAGCACAGCTGGCCAAGGTTAAGATATGTATCATTCTAGTATTATATAAATAGGGGAATACATTGTTTTGTTAAAATAGTAAAATATTTCAAAGTAAGGTAATTAGATAAGTTTAGATTTACTTTATTGATCCCAATATGGGAAATTGTTTAGTCACAGCAGCATGTAAACAAGGAATTGCACATGAATGAAAAGTAAAATAACAGAAAATAAATATCAACATTATAAAATAAATAGTAAATACCTAAATCTATAGACAATCTAAAGAAAGATATACATTTATATAGTATATAACGGGAAAAGATATGTAATTTTGTGTGTGTGCTTCTTTCAAATTCCAGAGTTTCATAACTGTAAACAAGTTATAAATCACAAAGTGTATTAAAAAAACAAACATAAATATGATAATAAACATACATTTTTACAGTATCATTCTTCCCTGGTGTTTACCTGCGCGCTCCTGAGGCGTCTGAACTGCTCGGCTGTGGGGAAGTCGGGGCGGCCCATGCTCTGCCACAGCCCGTACGGGTTGGTTACGTTGTTGTCAATATAATATGCAACATACACAAGACCTGCAGCGCAAACAGAAAGATGACAATCAGGACTCATATTTAACTCAACTTGCAGAAATCATGGTCTGTTGGACAAATGGTTATATGAACCACAAATCTGGATCCAACTCACAGAAATGGCAACTATCACTTATTTTAAATCAAGGATGAAGACTTGCTGAAGATGAAGATGCTGCTGCCTTTTATTTAATCAAATAATTGTTCATATCTTTCACAGCGTTGTTAGTTTTATTCTTGCATTATATTCCATGTTTCATTTTATATTCTCTTGTTGTAATTGATATTCTCTTGAATTTATAATCACTTTATTTAAATGTCTAAAATGTCTTGCGTTTAAAGGTTTTGGTAAAGCACATTTGTATTTCATCGTTTATTCTTGCTATATAAATGAAACTTGCATAACCTATTCATAATATTAAAAGGCAGCAGTATTTAATTTTATATTTTTTACTTTTTAGAGATGTATTTGCAGCCTCAACAGATGGGTTTTCAGTCTGCTTGTTTGGGGAGAGAGTTTAGTTGAACCCACCCTTCTGTGCAGCCAGCCCCTTCAGAGACAGGCGGACATCATCAGTGTCGGTGGAGCTGCTGTTGTCGTCACTGTTGAACAGCAGCAGGGCGGCCTGCCAGCTGTCGGAGCCGCGCTCTGTTACAGGGCTGTGGATGCTGGCGAGAACTCCCACTGTGCTGTTAGTACCTGCGGAGCTCAAAACCTGAGAGAGGACCTGCGTCTCTCCTGAGAGTGGAGTCACAAACAAAGGCAACATTAAAATACGACTGGGAGGAGATGAGAAAGCAACATTTTAAAGATTTAAAAGGTTTGATTGTCATAGGCACAGATACAGTCTAGCAATGAAGGTATGAAAATACAGAATAAAAAGAAATATTCTTAAACCATTCTTTATTCTATATTTTGAAATATATAATACAGTTAGTAAAGTTAAATTCTGTACAGTAGAATAAAATGCTGTACACGGATATATTGGAAGTTATGAATGAAAAGGTTGTATAAACAGATGTGTATATAAATAGATATTGAGTATGAACATAACAGATGCAACATTGCGCTTATATGGTAGTAGAAGTTTTGACAGGAGGTATCTAAGTGGCAGCAATAAGACCACGTTTAATGATCTTATTCATCTGAATGCTAAGGAAAGGGGCTTTAAATGCTTTCTCTCTTATCCCATATCTTTAGCACAGGACACACTGGACGGTCCTTTATGAAAGTAAAGGAGATAAAGCCATCTCACAATTCCTTGCAATTCCTATGGATACATTAAAAACATCCTTCTTAGGAGACGTTACTCTATGAAATTAGCATATTTCCTTTGCATTAAGAACAACGGTCATTATGACTGCCACTAAGACACTTTTTGGCCATTTTACTTAGTTAGAAAACTTCCTATGAGACAATAACTATATGATCCAAAGATACTACCCTTTCCCTGATTTATTGGCATTTTCCATGGAGGTAAAGGAAAGTGTTTAGGAAAAGACGGTCACCTAGCAGAGCCAGCAGGCCCATGACGGAGAGGACGGGCTTCCTGATGATCTGCACGTGAGGCGGCTGGGTGTTGTTGACCTGGAAGCGAGCGGTGAGCGTGCGCTGGGTGAAGGGGTGCGGGTGGTAGCTGAGGAAGGCGTTGTCGTTGCTGAGCAGGGTGTAGTTGATGGTGCTTGTTGGGTCCGCCAGCAGCAGGTCCTGGTGCTGGTTTATAACCTGTTAAGATGAGCAGGACAGATAACTGGTTCAGTGTGATTTAACTGGTAGAGAGATGAGTTAAATTAAGAAATTCTAATATTTTTCACCCTGTAGTGCAAAATGTATGTGTTATATTTGTACTTCGAAATGATCCTGAAAAAGCATCAAAATATGCTAAACAACAGGCAAAAAATGGCACTAAACATACTTGAATAACGTAACATTTTGTCAAGACGCAAGTTTTTTAAATTGCATCACAAATAGGACACACAACTTTGTTTAAAGAAGAAACAAAAATTAATGTCACTTTATTTTTTTTTCCGGCTCTTTCGAGGTGACTGAATAGCAGCAATTATTTGACCAAAATAGCAATTAGCTTCAGCCACTAAAAATCCTTGTCACTTATTTAGAAAACATAATAATAATAATAATATAAATGCCCTCCAGATGGTTAATCATTCATGCATATACCCAAATACATGCATTATTTGTAATGCCCTTGTACAAGACTTTAGTTATAATATCCAGTATTCAAACATGATTTTAGTCTCTTGGTGTTTTTCATGGTGCTCTCGTCACCTTCACCACCATCGCGGCGTAGGTCACATCCGCCCTCCACTCCTGAGGCCGGGACCAGCCCACCAGCGGATCGGCCTCGTCGTTGTAAACAGGGAGGCTGCTGAACCGGGGGAAACGCTCCTGGATCTCCCCCATCGTCTGGATCTCCTGCTGCAGGATGGGCAAGGAGAAGCCTCCTCCCTGAAGGACGGCCACAGTTAGTCAACAATAATTAAGCTGGTGTACGCATTAATAAATATAGTTTTACTTGCCTCAGGGGATTTGAATTTTAATATTTGAATGACATAACTATACTTTTGTATAATTTGTTTGCTTTCGGACATTAATATAACAACTAGTCTGGGCAATGAAGATGTCATTTTTGATTCAGATGCTTTAATTTCAGGGAAGCCCACCTTCTTGTGCAGGGCGATGTAGTCGATCCTGACCCCCGTCTCTCCAGTGAAGTAGTTGGTGCCGTTGAAGCAGTGCTGCAGCATGGCCCAGCAGTACGGTGAGTGTGGGGGGGAATGACAGGAGTCCCCCGGACCCCCAAACTTTAGGAGACTACTGGCAGCGAGCAGACCCTCCGAACAGGCATCATAGTAGTTTAAAAACCCTACAAAAATATGCATTATCAGAAAGAACTGATCATGGGCACAGCAGTGGAGTGTCTGTTTTTTCTAAGTTCAATATTGCAATAATACATCTGTGAAATGTGAGCATTTTCATCACAAAAAAACAATAAAAGATAAACCTTTTACAAATGTATCATTTTCAAGTCGCAAAATATATTTTAAAAATTGCTTTTTGGATGTTAAATTCTCCACTGAAGTGAATCTTTAACCCAGACTTCTTTTATGTTTGCAAAAGGATCTGTCTTATATAAAAAATTGTGTTATCCGAAAAATACGTATATCATATTGCAGGTAGACAATAGGGATAAGCTTGTGTCACTTTTTAAACTGAGTGTCAGTATGGCCTAATAAGCATTTATCAAAAAACTAAAGCAAAGGAACTAATATCTATTACTGAAAATTATGAGAACGTCAGTATCAACCAACCTGTTGCAAAAAAGAATGTATCCAAATTATTTTAAATAAATAGCAGTTACATAACCACAAGTAATATTACATCTATGAGATGCAATTATGATCAAATAAATGATTTACAGTGATTATAAAAAATTGAAAATGATGCATTATGGGTTTACCTTGAATTGACACGCTGACATTATCAAAGTCGTGGTTGTTTGGCTCATTCCATGTTTCAAAGTTCCACTGAGAGACAGTCCCCAGGCCGTACTGTTCTGTCATTAAAGAAAACATGGGAACAATTATATTACGTAGCAGCAGGGTCATACAGTGCAGATTAATTGTGTATCAGTTCACTTATTGTTACACTTTATGTTGAATTACACAAGAAACTAATAATATGTTTTATTAGGTTTGCAAGCTCTACCTAGTTTCAAAAATAGCTAAATTCATATTAAAGAAAAATATTACAACACTTTAAATAGCGCTTCCAACTAATGTCATTTTAGATTATGTTTTTTATTGATCATGATTACATGGCGTGCAAACTACATATAAAACATAATGGGGACAAAACAATGGCACACACTCACCGATGTACCTCTTGGCTATGAGATAAACCAGATTTCTCCACTCAAACACTTGTGACTTGTCCTCAAAGTCAGTGAAGTAGTTCGAGACACTGCCCATGAGTTCAAAACCTAAAATATGTGTAGCCACATTGTGGTTAAAAACATTGCGATTTCTTTATGAAATAAATACTTGAACACTATTGTGATTTATCTTGGGAAAAAAATACTTTAAATATGCATCACAAATATAATGTGATATTTTTCAGACTGGTGTTGAGGTACCTGGTCGGAGTCCATTTATCCACAAGAGATCTATCAGCTGGTCCAGTTTAGTGAAGTTGTACTGGGGTTGTCCTCCAATATCCCTTTAAAAACAAAATCACTCAGATGTAATGCATCATTAAAAACCAGACAAATATTAAACTACACTTAGGTGGTGAGCTAGTTCACTTACTGTGCAGTGACCAGCTCCAACATCCAGTGTATCCTGACCTGCTGGATCCCTCCATGAGGGACTGAGCCCACATGAGCCAGGTTCTGCTGCTGGTCTATGCTCAGGTCAAACTGGTGGGCCTGGGTGTGAGGCAGCGGGGGGCTGAGGACAAATAAGAGCCTCCTATTTATCTTTGTGATACATCTGTTACACAGATATGCATTCATAGATTGAGAATACAATAAATATTCTACTTAATTACGAAAGTTTAGATCATTTCAGTTTCAGAGTGAGTCTTTGAAAAAACTGCCAGTCAAAACAACTATTAAAATAATATATGGGGTTTATTGAAGATGCTTAATTGATACAAACATATCTAATACCTAGATAAAGAGGTATTCAGGTGGATTCGGTGTGTAAATAAGCACTTTTATTTTTCTAATTCAACAAACTGTCCACTTCCTCAATGCTTCCTGATCACCACTGTCTGTGTATTTTCCTGGAATAATAATTTAGATTTAACCTACCAGAAACCAGTGCTTGTCCAGAAGTGTTTAAGATCTCCTACTGGTCTCCCCACATCCACTGTGATGACATATGAAGTTGTTGAAGTTCTGGTAATGTTAAGAAGTAACGCAAAGACAGAAAATTGTTTCCACTGCATGTCTGCAACTGAGCATGGCAGCGTTGTGTGCTCGCTATAAAATGATTAACCGAGGGGTCAAGTTAACCACAACATGGCTTACACATTGTATGCAAGCAATGAAAGAAACACATTTAATAGATTTACTTGAGCAAAACACAACCACACAAGCATTTCTACTCTTGTCTCGAGCTGCAGTCGCAGTCAGCTGAGCATGATGACGCTTAATCCGAGCGACGCTGTTGTTGTAGTCTTTCTGGGAAACATCGGTAAAGTTAGTTTTAGGTTGGATAGGGCATTCAGCAGACATTTATTTTGCATCCAGGGCCGTCTCGTCAGCTTAAATAATGACTACATTTCTATAAAAAGCCCTATAATCCCATAGATAGTCTAACTTGAACGCATTTCAAAGGTACGATAGTAATTAGTTAGTGTCACAAGCTGTGTGGTTGACAGACAAGCCGAAATAGCTCAGTTGGGAGAGCGTTAGACTGAAGATCTAAAGGTCCCTGGTTCGATCCCTGGTTTCGGCAGGGGTTTCTTTTTCATTGCTTCTGATGTTACGGTATACGTCTATGTTTTGGCAAGTAAACAGAAAAAGCAAGTCTTCAGATATCAACAACGTCAATACTGGCATAACATGTCCCCATTCTGAAAGTCTTGTCATATATTAATTGTGCTAAGTTGTTTTTCGTTTTTTGTGTTGTATATTTAATTTAGTGTAATACTGTCTGAAGTTCACCATCATACACCAAAGCAAATTCCTTGTAAACATACCTGGCAAAGCTAGACATGTATTATACTCACAAACTTTGTCCAATATCGTTTAAAGCTGTTGACTTTATTAATGATAAACAGGCTTCTTATTAATCATATTACTTGACAAAAACTACAAAATAAAGAGTAAAGATTGAATCATTTAAAAAAATGGTATCTGGAAAATAATTCTGACATTTTTTTAAAATAATTTTGTATGTTAATCGGTATAAATGGCTGAATCATGGTTGAGTCTTGTATTTTCTAAAGTACAAAAACAGATGTGGTGAGTTCAAGTAAAAAAGATGGACGATTACATTTCTCTTTTTAAAATTAAACACAATGAATTGTCGTAAGCAGGTCCGCATGCTGCCAAACATTTCAAACATATAAAAGGTTTTTCTACTTTAAATGAAAATATCTCTCATGTGATAATTCATGTGAAAATTGATTAAATGACATGTTGCAATAGCACAGGTAGCTGAGAGCTCATTCAATAAGATGTGAATATAAGTCAGTGAGATAACAGTTAACACTCTAACTAACTGGCATGCTGTCAAACTTTAAGACGACTGCCTCAGTATAGATATGACAGGAACATTGGAGCTCCTCTTTAGTTGATAATAGGCGCGTTCACACTGCAGTACTTTTCCCACTCAATGATTGTCACAAGTCATTGAGTTCTGCCACCTTGCTGCAGACGTGCCTGATATCCTTCTGTAGCTTCTCCTTGTTAAGGCAGGATTTTATGTCACCTATCTGCCTCAGGGACTCGATGGCATCATGCACCGACAGGAAACCTGTTCAAAAGTGAGCCGGGTGTAGAGAATCAGTTTGGCTCTCTCTCTATTGTTCTTCTGCTGTCTGTTACTAATATCTATTCTACGTCCTAATGGCTTTTTCATCAGTTATCATGACTTTATCGACTCTAAGAAGTATAATCCAGTGACTACAGTCCCTCTGTGGGGTGGAGGGACACACTTTTTCCAACAATGATGGGATATTAAATCACTATCCTTCTCTTTTTGACTCCACGCCTGTCTTGCCAAGTATATTTACGACACTCATCAATTATGTATTGCTTTTCTCCGATTTAATACCCTCTCCGTCCATCTTTTCATCCTATACTTAAAATAGAGTGTTGGATGGCTTTCTAGCACTGAGAGCGGTGATTCATAGAGCAGTTTTCTCTTGCTGTTATTTACTGCAGGGAGTCTTTGCCTCTTTTTTATTTGTCTACACTTTAATAAGAGCCGGAGACTGAGAGAGGTTGACAGAAAGTGGGAAAGGTTTGAGGTCTTGTGCTCCTGGGAAATGAGATTCCTATTGGCAAATCCGTGAGATGGGGATGGATGTCAACAGCAGCCTGATGCAGAGTGGAGCTCTGTGCTGGCTTACTTAGATGGCTGTGCATGACATAACCCATCATTTATTAGATTTGAGGTAGCCACACAAAGCAGCTGTAGCTCAAACACAATTTATATAGGCTTTAACCTCTGTTGTAATGAGGCAACATGTATGAATCTACATCCCATCCTGGCCTGTCAAAGAGTTTTTCAAGTCTTGAAATGATCATTAAAGTAGTTCAAGCTACCTAGGATAAGAGTAGTATACACACTTTTCAATATTGTTAAAAGTAACATCTGGACACAATGTAAACATTTAATGAAACAACATGATGTGAGAGTTAATAAGCTTCTTAGTAAGGCATGTTGCCTCCTGTGTAAAAAGCCCTGCTGCCCTTATTTTCAGTACAATTTAAATAAAGTTAACTTATATGGATCTATGGGATATTAAGCGTCTCATTTGTGGGAGAAATAAATGAACTGTTTTAGTCAAGTAATCAGTTCACTTCAAAATATGAGTAATTACAGTCTGTCTCTCTTTTTCTGACTCTTTTGTGAAGCTTTCCTGCATGTGAGCATTTTCCTTGACGTATATGGAACATAGTGTGTGTTTACCCACTGATGACAGCTTGGTACAGACAGTGCTAACCCACCTTTGTGGTATTCCTGTTTGAGCAGCTGCAGCTCTTGATTAAGGCTGCTCTCCATCGAGGTCATTCTCTTACTCAGTTTTGTTTCAGAGCGTTTCAGATGATCTGACTGACGCCGGTCTGCCTGATCCTGCTGGGCCTCAAACTGCTCCACACGCGCCTCCAAAGCCTGTAGCCGCACAGCTAATCTAGATTCTGCCTCTAACTGAATACAGAACAAACATATAACAACTAAAACTTCAAACACACATCACTGTTTTCAACCATGTGACGAGTCTTGAATACATTTTTTAAATCATGGTTTTAAAGGTACTGCAAGATTTACAACTTAATTTCCATATTTATTTTGATATATTAATTGAAGTCTGTCATTATAGCACCTGTCTCATGTCAATTTAATGATCATTGCTTAAAAATGTCTCTCATGGCATCTTGAATAACTCACCCATAGAAAGGCCTCTCTTTAGCTGAAGCTTTCTCACCATCTGTGTCTCTTTATTATCATTTTTAAATGTAATGAGTGACAACTCGAAAAGAGTTGCTGAAATAACACCACTCACAATAAAATATATATCTTGCAGGTCCTAATAGCATGATAAATGGGGCATAACAAAGAAAGTAAAGACAGATGAAGACACATTTTACAGATAAACTTTATTCTGAATAAAGCCTGGTTTGTACTTGCAAGTTGTTATTGTGGAATTAAATTGTTGGTAATACTGTCAGCTGCCGTACCATTTTGTCCTGCAGTTGTGTGCGGAGCTCTTGGCTGCGATCCGCATGATTCTGGGCCAAACTATTGAGCTGTTGTTCTGTCCACTTCCTCAAAGAATCGGTCTGCTCCTTGGCTCCCTTCAGTTCCCCTGACATCCTGCAAAGTCATCAGGAATAAAAAGGAAATAATCTAGAAAGCTCTTAGTTAAGAAGTTCATTTCAAACAAGACACTAAAAAGCCATTAGTAGATAAGATTAGATAATTAGAAAGGTTTTTACAAATAGGCTACCCAGAAGGCTTTATGTAAGGCCCATTGTATACAGCTCATGCTTGGTGCTTGGCATTGGAGTAAGCACTGGTGTGAAAACAATCATCAATCATAAATCAATAATTGATGTTCTGCCAGTTTATGTCCAAAGCAGGATGCATTATGTTGAATTTCTTTGGTTTAAACTTACTTGGTGCCAGCCTTAGTAGGCAGAACACTTTTACTCTGTTATGAGGTGCTGCAACTATATGTGTATACAGAGACGCATAGACTTACATGGTGCATAAAGAGTAAATAAACCCTTGGTGTTGATCTTACTGCGCTGTTTCTTTGGTAAAGCAAAAACAAATCTCCCTGTTTTATTGGACCGGTTGCCATTTATATAGGTTAGCTGTTTGCAGCCGCCATTACTCACACAGCCTTCTGGGTCAACAATGTTCAAATGTCTCCAATGAAAGCAGAGTGAGACAAATAGTGTGGGCTGTATTGTACCGTAACACACAATGCATCTCATCAAATATTTCTATAATGTAAAAAAACATATTGGCACTAAAATTAAATGTACCTTCATTCATCCTAAACCCATGTTGGGACTTTATGTGCTTCTGTGTTTAACAGCAAGACTAATCAGACTGCTTAATAGCTATTAAGGTCTGCTGCTATAGAGACACCTCAATGTTATCTCCTCGCTGGCTGGCTAATCTACCTAATGTTGACAGTTGTTAAGGCGGTGAATACTAGACAACAGGGCGGCTGACTAAAATTGTAACAGGGTCAGTGTGCCTCCATTCTTTGCTGTTGTCGTGTTTTTGAGCTTGTCTGAAACCTATTATCAAGCAGGTTTGATTCTTTTGTCAGTGGCCGTGTACTGTGTGATGTGGGTGTCTCGCCTTTCTATTCAGTGTAGTGTGTAATGTAGAAGATGATTGTTAGAGGCTGTCAGATGTCTTGTTTGAGATTTTTTAGGCACTAAATTATGTACCTAAATGTAGTAATTGTGACTATTTAAAATACATTAGGTGGTCAGAGATTAGGGTTTCACATTGAAAGTTTAACAAAATGCAAAATGGATAACAAATCTTCTGAGGTCCCACTTTGGGAAAGATGTTCATGAGAGTAAATAAACAAGGAGCACCCTGGATGGATGAATGGATGGAAGATATAATATCGCAAACTATTTGTTTTGTCACCTGGCTCAGAATCACAGACAGTGTTGCTTTTCATCTATTTTATCTATTGTTCTTTTGGATCCAGCATCATCAGTGACCTGGTTTCCAAAACAGATCCACAGCAATACTAAATAGAGCATATTCCTCATTCATGTCTCTCTGTTTCTGTTTCTAACATTGCAGAACTATGTGATTCATTCTTCATATTGCTGCTGATTGAGACTTGTTATGAGTCAGGACTCACAGGGGGTAGTATTTGATAACCAAATTAGTAAATATTGGATTATTATTTGTTATGTGGATCTGGCCAGAAGAAAAAGGTAGCATTAATCCATCAATTAGGTAATGCTGCTGAAATGCTAATTAAAAAATAAAAGGACTATCCCAGTCACCAGCAGCACACTCACAGATGTTTCTACAATACAGTTGTTTTAAAAGTAACACTAGAGAACCATCTTGAATGTTGAAATTATAACCTCTCCCCTTCTCCCTCAATTTCATAGGTTTGAATATATTCTAGCAGTATACAATTCCTAATAAACCATGTGCACTATGAGTAAAGCTGCTTTGTGCAGTATTAGTTGTGAGCCATCTTGATGCCTTTTTTATTATGTATTTATATTATTACTTTGACTCATAATCACAGCTATGTTGCAGTTCATCTACATAGAGTAAGTACCGCTGTGCATGGGTGTGAGTCCATGGAAAGAAAAAGGGGAATAAATACAAATAAATCAGACTAACACATGCTTTACTGTGATAAACAAGTAAACTATATGTGTTTGGGTTGAGCTTCCTCTTTAATTAATTGGCCTTACCTGTCATCGAGTAGTTTAAGTTGCAGATCAGCCATGGAGCTCTTTTGGCTCTGGGAATGCTTTGACAATGAGGCCTCCAGCTTTCCAAGATCATAATAAATCTGGGAAAACAAACAAGCACATGCTGTAACGTGCCGTTGGACCATCTTGTGGTGCAGCCTCAATGATCTGACCTTTACCCTCTACAGTTTCTGCTGAGTCAAGGTGATTGAGGTACTGCACCACTCCTGTAGCTGGTCAAGCCTGGGAGTAACAGCGGCGACCCACTTTCTCTGAGTATTCAATTACCTTAATGGGACATGCGTGACCACTGCTCCACAGCTAATGTGCTGCCATCACAGTGATTTACCTTGCTGTGCCACAAACACAACTGAGAGCAGGGTGAATCAGTGTGAGTGTTAAGGTCATTTATGGTCAGCTTTGGATTTAGTTAAATGCTGGAGAGTATTATAACATGTGACAAACTGTATGTGTCCTAAACCAGTATTTTAAGAAATTTTTTTAATCTTGTAAAGAGAATTTGACCTCAAAGGCAGGTAACACTGTTTTAATTGAGTCACCTTGAAATCCCTGTATGAATTAATTCCACATCTCATTTACCTCTTTTAGAAAGTGTGGTTGAGCCTCTGAATTTACTTTATAAGACCAGTCTCACTCCGCAGGAATAAGCTCCAACACAACAACGCTTGCCATCCTCTCGAGGATAAACAGCAAATACTCCCCCTGTGTATTCTCGCAGTTAATTCTTTTTGTTCATTCAGGTAGCATAATCCCCTTGTTATACCTTAATCCATTCACAAAAGAAAATGTTTTCGTTAATGTGAGTAAATTAATCCCAGTTTCAACACCCTCTGTGTGTGAGAGAGAGTGTGCTAACACAGAGGAGGGGGTACGATAAGGTTAGAGTGGTCGACTTTATTAAGTGTAAAAAGTGGCATAAATTAAGATTTATGAGAATAAGATTAAGAGTCCAAAACCATGCAGGCATGTCTTTGAGTCTCTGCTTAAAGGTAAAGTGGTGCTCAATGCCAATGCCAGCAAGCTAGAATGCTCACTATGATAATGCTAACTTGCTTAACTTGTGTGTTATAATACTCACACTTTCTAATTAGCACTAGACCTTACATACAACTGAAGCCGATGGGAATCTCAGTGTCTTCCAAGTTTTAATGTCCTGAATGTCGCAGAAACTGAGAAGAATTATTGTATGTCTAACTATGTAATTAAGGACTGACTTTTAAAGACTAATTGTCTTTTTGACACTTACATTTCAACTTCCAGACCATTTGTCAGCCTTCACACTCAGTCTCTCACCTTGACCTTCATCTATTTGAGCTGTTTGTCCATGGCTGACCGGAGATCTGCCACCTCTTGCTGCAGTCTAATCAGCCGCCGCTCCCCAGAGCTCACGCCAGCGCCCAGCTTGCAGATGGCGGCATCACACCTGACAGAATAGGTGAGGAAGAAGAGAGGGAAACTGAATGAGAAAAGCGGGATGGAAGAAAGTTGAGGGAAAGGTGTCAAGTCAGGGAGATTTAGACAACATGGGGGAAGGGTTTTTCTGAAGTGAACACATTTCAGATAGTCAATACTTTCCAAGGCTTACTAATGGAAACCAGAAGAAGGCTCTGCTGATAATTAAGCAATGATAGTTTATCAAGGACAAACAGTGAACAAACACATTTGAACTTTTCATTCGAAGTATGTTTGTATCTGATGATGAAATACTAATAAAGACACAGGCAAAGCAACCAAATAAAAAGTAAACTAGTTTTATAAACGTATCACTAAACGCAATTAGAAGATAACGGAAGAATACTCTCTCATGTGACATCCTGCTTCTAGTTCCGTTTATGTAATGACGATGAACTTTGTCAACATTGCAATATAGCTCTCATCCTTCCTGTGCTAAATTTAAGATGCCATCAGCCAGCAAACACTCTCTTCAATATTCATGATAAAGCACAATCTTAGATCAACAACCAAAACTAGCAGATAGTTATTATGTTAAGATGCCCAGTGTGAAATAAGGGTTATTTCCCTGTGGAGCACTTCATCTCTACCATAAAGGGATACACAAAACAATACAGTTCATCAACAACCACTGGCCCATAACTTACTTGATTATTTATGACTTATGCACAAGAAAGGTCATTAGGCTGAGTAGGTGAGGTTTCGACAGCATTTATTGGACTATAAATCAGCTGTTTGTTGAGTCATAGGCAATATCTTCTCTCACCACTAACATCTTGAACACCACAGAGGAGAAGAGCCTGCTTTGAAATAAGATGTTCACCAAAGTACATTCATCTATTGTCTCTTTGTAATGAGGAATTAGGCGAAGTAATCTCCATGTATTGAGCAATGATGGCCATGGCTATTCCAAATAATTCAGCCAAGGTAGCTACAGGGGAACATTTCTAATCCTAGCACAATCCTAATTGTGACAGCCTCCTTTCGGCAATGCAATCTCATATGCACCATCTTCATAGACATCACATTATGAGTAAGAGCTAATCAGAAAACTTCACTCTGGTGAGAACAAAATAATGAATGTGTGCAATCAAAGTGTTTGTGTCTGTTGGAGTGTCGGAGGTGATGCCACGCTGGAATTGAAATTGTGAGACTGTGAAGAGCTGCCAGACAGGAAGCAGACCTCATCAGAGATACAAAAGTAAGTCCTACCCATAGATTGTCAACTGTGCAGCAGATCTGGGTCTAAATAATTGCGCAATACCTTTAAACAATACTTCAGAGGAAAGTTTACTGTGCTAGTATTCAGCCCTCAATGTTGTATTTGTTCAAACTAAACAGTTTGTACCACAGTGTTTACAGACATTATTTGACCCAGAGCACCATGCTGTACCTGGCCACTCTTCCTCTCAGGTCTCCAATGCCACTCATGTTCTTCTGGTCCAGGCTTTGAAGGGCCAGTGTGGTTGCAGAGGTGATGGAGTCCCTCTGGGCAATCTGTCTTTCCAGGGACTGTTCAAAACAGAGATCATATTTCAAGAAGTGGTGCTTTTTAATCGTACATTAACTCCCTTTCTGCCCCTCTTTTCAATGCTGTTAAAATAACCAATGTGGGTTAAACTGCTCTAGAAGGTTAAAACTGGCAGACATTTTGTTGGGAAAATACTGAATGTACTCTTCCAATATCAGAGTAGCACATGATAACAAAGGCCCTACGTAGCTGTGTATGTAACAGGAGGAAGTATGACTACCTGGAAGAACATCAGGACACACGTGAAGGACACTGTTCGGGGAACTAGTTATACCATATGCTCTGTATGTGATGACTACTTTCATTCTTGAGAGGATAATAAATACATGTATCCTGATATTGAAGCTCAAGCCGGTGACGAGTGATATTTTTCTAACACATTTCATCACCACTTATGCATGAATTATATTTCTATGAAACAGGCCATAAGCATGTTTGCAATATGCCTGATGTTGATAACCCGACATCAACAGGACGACCCTCTGGATTATCATGAGAGCAAGTAGTGACTGTGTGATGTTCCTTTCATCTGATTAACCAGCTCATTTATTTCACGCCTGAGCTTAATTCCTCATGTGCATAATTAATTAGCTCTCAGGCTTCATGTTATATTTCAGATAATGACAGCATCTAATCATGTTAACAGCCCAGTTGGTATGCACTAATGAAGTAATGAGTAACAATTTTGTGCTCTGTTTCTATAAGTCAGTTATCAAACTGTGAGGCTGGATGTTGTGCTCGATCAACGATGATTGTACATCATTATTCTTTTTGCATGTATAGACAAAATGTCCATGGGTTGACGTTGATGAGGTGTCGGGCAGGCTTTGCTCAGGCACTGCACCATTCTATCAGCTGTAATCAAATCAGCTGCGAGTGTGTGTCCGGGAGTGTGCTGCACATCAAAGGAGATGAGAAGAGAGGAAGGCAGATAAAAGAAGGAGTGACAAAAGAGGACTAGACATGTAGAGAGAAAAGGGAATACACACAAATAGACACTGACTTCATATACATAATACAAAATATATATCGGGGCAATACAACAATGATACGCATTAGCACATACATGTGTCCACCTTATACCTGTATGTCCATGCTAAGCTGCTTGGCAATGCGTGTAATGGTCAGTATGTGATTCTCCAGCAGCTTGCGGGACAGTGTCTCAACTTGGAGGGAGCCCTGGACTGACTGCAGGCCTGCTGCCACTTCCTCTCTGATCCTGAAAGCCTGTTCCAGCAGCACAGCCAGTGTCCTCTCCTGACCGCTCAGACTACTCCCCAAGACATCATAATGAAGTGAGCGGAAACAGAAAACCAAGCTTTGAGTCATGAAACCTCATATTATTGATTTATGTACAGGGAGACATGTCGTAAATCATGACAAATTAACATTTTCTAGCACTGGAGGCAAGGGAATCCTTTTACAGCATGATTCAATTAAGCATTCATCCACCCAGAATAATAATGACGAGAGAGATGTGCTGGTTCTCAGACCCTCTGGTCTTCCTCATAACACATCTATCACTGACTTCATGTCCCTGTGCGTCCTGTGTCACCCTGTCTGATGCTATTGTGGGTTAAGGATTAATTGGATCAATGTGATTCACAGCTGTGTTAGAAAGGTCGCAGATGGATCTCAAACATACCTCCATCCAATCAATGAAGGGAAAAATAAGTATCTACCTCTGGACACAGACTGGTTTTAGAACACAGGGACTAAGAAAGGTGAAGAATAAGGTACTAGAAAATGTGTAATATAGAAATATTCAATTGAGGAAGTAAAAAGGAAAACATTACCTGCCGGGGTTTTGGTAGGGCTGGAACTTGTGTGACATTGTTCTTCTCTAAAAAGAATAAAAAACACATATTGAATATTTGGTGGTATTAACAGTACACTTTTCCTTAAATTGTGTTTCACATCTGCTGTCAACCTTACTGCAGGGTTAAATGTGTTAAAATTGTTCCAAAAATAAACAGAATAATAGCAGGCAACATATACACAACTTGCTTCGACTACTTTTTTGTGCCGAGAATAAAATCACAGAAGATCAAAGTTTATCACCATTGCATTCATTTATTAAAGAAACATTCAACGTTTGGACTTTTTGAATTTGCAGGGTAGCTACCCTTTTTCCTTGAATTAAAATCAACATTTGAAAGTCCTATCTGGGCATACTTCAACCAAAATAATGCAAAATGTTCCCAATTTTAACATCAAAACATCGACCAGTTCTTACATATTCAGTAATACTCACAGTCCTGTGCTTTTTTCTTCAGCCGGCTCTTGATTTGTTTGTGTTGTGTCTTGGTAACTGTGGTCTCCATGAGTGAGGTGTGCCTGCCAGTGAGATGTTCAACATAGCAATGAGTGATGCATTGGACACCAAAGCAGCCTAAAAGTCAGCGATTTGGAGAAAATGTTTTGATATTTGAACTCACAAAAAGAATTATATTTATCATCTCTCTCACTCCCACTGCCTTTCTCTTCGTGGCATTTGCCCTGTCCTGTGCACGAGCATGAGTAAACTCTCTACCTGATTCACGCAGCCAGGGCTTTGAATGAACACTTTTAGTTAGCACACATTACAGACTGTGCAGCAGCAGACTGTGAGGAGATATTCACTGATTTAGACTAGAAGTGCAGTTGATCAGAATCACTGACTCATCTTTTAACTCAGAAAACGAGAACATTTATTTAAATTGAGTAAGTCATGTGTGAACATCAGTTTTACTGAAGCTTAATCAGAAATGTATCAAGGTGCCTGTTTATCTTTTTGACCTGGATGGTTTATTACTTTATAGATATCAAAATCTAAAATTCTGTTGGTGTTATGATCACCGTCAGTTCCTCACTTCATTAGTATCACTGTTTACTCAATTGTGATACGCTGCAAAACTAATAGGTAATGGTTGGAATTAATTTGGTGTCTAACTTGAATTGGCATCCTGGAGTTCTCCTAATCATGATATTCTTATACTCATTAATCGTTTTCAGTTTCAGTACTTAAGGGTCTATTTTGTTTGTTAATGACATACTACAATCTAGCCCTCATTGGGTGTTCCTTTCCATTTGGCTGACTGTGGCTAATAACAGATTACAAATGTAAATGATCATAATAGCATTAGATTCAAATTCAAACAAATGTCTGTGCTAAATTAATTCAATTCACATCAAAACAAAAACGTTTTGCCAACAGTATTTATTCTATCCTGCTGTACATGGCCGATTTAAGCCAAAAGCTCTCCTAAAGTTTTTTGAGTATGAACTTTGAATAACTCAATTGCCTGCAGTAAGAGGTCATACTAGACAGCTCCAATTACTCTTGCTGAGGCTGTAAGGAAGAAAATGTAATTATTGGAACTGGGAACTGGGAGTATTATAAGGAAAAAATAGCTAAATAAGCTCTTCATCCGGTCTGTCTGGTGTTTTATTGCACACAATATAATTACATATTTATTGTACATTGAGATTTACTCTCAATCCGAGAGGTAACAGTGAAAATGGCCGTATCATGTTTTATACACAAAACCTGAACTATTTATCATACAGTGTGACTTAAGCTGTACTGTGCCACTGCATTACAGTTAATGCAAATGCAGACCGTGTACAGGATTCAGAGTTTTGAATTGTTTGTGTCAGTTGCAGTTGTGTTTGTGTGTGCATGGCCGCACACACAGCAGATTTGTCTCTTATCAACAGGTCCAGGCTTATTAAGAGGAAAGGCCTGCTTAATGCAGACTCATCAGTTATCCAGAAAGCCGATGACAGGCATTGTTTGGCTCACATTCTCCCATCTCCATCTACTTAACTGAGAGAGGGCCTCAGGGCAGTCCACTGTGTGCCGCCAGTGTCCTCCTGGTTGTAATTCAAGTGTTTCATTTTGCAGGAAGGAGGGAGGATCCCAGGCCTCAACAAAAGTCTTTATTGGATTCTCATCCAAGGTTTGATAAACAACCCGATTACTCAAACACATGACTATTTGTCAAGTATGATGTACTCTGGTCATTGCTGCTATAAATCATCACACAACATTGCATGCTGATTATCCTTTTCTAATTATTAGAGGGTCGAGGCCAAGTGCTTGCAACAGAAAGCATTATTAGCACCAATCACACCTCCATCGTCACTCCTACAAGTGATACCAAGGTCATATTAGTGTGTGTCACATGAATAAATGGCATGCAAGCAGCATTACTCTCACTAACTCTCTTTGACATCAGCCCTGTTTGCAAATAAAAGGTCATTCTGTGACCTTCTTCATGTGTGTACATGTGTAAGAGTTAAACAGAGAGAATACTTTATTCTAGTAATTATTGTCTCTGTTTGCTTGTTTAAGAGAAAGTGGGAACAATATTAACCAGGGGCAAAGAAGAGTCCTGCATTGAAACAATGGCCAGAGGGGAAAACGTAATGAGTTATTGCAGCGCAGCAGCACAGCATCTAAAAAGAGAAGAGGCTGTTCAGTGCTGCATGCTCACTGCTGCATGTGGGTGATAACGTTCACAGTGCAAGAACATCCACACAGTACACGTCTTTCAAACCTCTGAGGTTTCACTGGACTCTCTGTCTGCTCCGGCTTTACCAAGGTCAATGCTTTGGAGGAATAATCTAGTGGCTGAAAATCACCATGCACTAACTAAAAAGAGATACACTGGGATGGGGGTGACAGAGTATTATAAACATCTCCACGAGGCATTGTGGGGTTGTGTTATGCAATCACCAGCATACATATTATCCAGTGACATGGTTGGCCAGAAGGAGGCGTGGTGCAGTCTTCATTTGAATAGAACAATTAATGTGGAAGTTTGACATAACCTTTGTAAAGCACAGTGGACCGGTACGCAACAACCACCCGGAGCCTCACCAAGCATTTTTGAAGAAGTCACTGCATGTGCTCCAACTTCACAGCTTAGATGAATCTTCAATAGATGGGGCTATTACTTCCCGTCTATCCAACGTGCTGCACTGTGCAAGGCATCCAATTTACGGGGCTGCATGCATAGGCATTTTGCAAGGCTAGTTGGAAGACTAACACCCCCTCCATGATCACATTGTGCGTATCCTTCTTGGCGCTCTAAACCTGATCATCAGTGGAAGTGCTCCCGCACGGCAGCAGCCCAACTGTGACATCCTTCCACTGTTCAGTGTGCTCAGGCTGGCTGGCTGCTGCACAAGCACCATGGAGAAGAAATCACCTAAGCATGAGAGCAGCGGCAAAGGACAGGAGTCTCTATCCTACCAGAGGAGGATGTGGAAGAATTTCCAGGAGAAAACCAAGCCTTGGCTCAGTCCTAAACTGGGATCTGAGCGTCGGAGTTCCGGGGGCGCGGAGGGCAGCAAAAAGGAATCGGGGTTATGGATGTTTAAGAGGAAAAAGAAACAGTTGGACCGGGTGTTCTCGTCGTCTCAGCCGAATCTGTGTTCCACTCCTCCAGCGTCGTTTGAAGGAGAAGTGAAGTCCCATGGAAGCGACCAGGTCCCCGGCACCAGCAGCGAAGGGCAGCCTCTGCATCCTCTTGGCGCAGCTTCTGGAGCCACGGGGAGCAAACCCGAGCTGACTGCGCATGGAAGCCCCAAACTCGCCATATCCCAGCTGATCACGTACCAGCAGAAGAGCTCCTCTCTCGGCTCGGCGTGCTTCGAGAAACTCGTGGTGGACCCGGCCGTGGTGGTGGGAGAGGAGGATCAGCTGCGTAAAAACGCAAGTGATTCTGTGAGTATACTTATAGTAAAATCACGCATCTTGTGGATTATGTTTCTATCAAGTAAGGCTATTTCCAAAAATCAATATCCTTAAGGAGGCGGGCATTGACCAGGAAATGAAATAACGGAGACAAGCTTGTATCATGTGATGCGCTCAGTCCACTGCTTTCTTAACTCTGTCCTATAGCTCGTATGGGCCATATGCCTACAGCCAATGCCAGTGTATGTGATCATCACCTACAACAATCTTATTTCACGAGTTGCTTGGCTTTTTCCTCATGTAACCAATACATTCACCCACTGCAGACATCCTGGCTGTGTAAAGGATTATTTCAATTATAGACTCACTGATAAGATATATACTCAGGCTACAGGCTCTGATGGCAGCCTCCTTTTGCCTGCTCACATCATTACCCCCCCCCCCCATAGGGATTGTGTGCCCTAGCTTCTCAGTCCATCTGTCACAGTATCCTTGCCAGTAGACAGGGGCTGCAACAGGCCAATGAAAGCTCAAAGGTTCATCATGCATTTCCTTTTCATGAAAAGTGGCCTGTTGGGAGGTGGTTATCAGCGACGCCACCAGCATTGTTGGAGATTGATGGCAGGTATATTCCCACACTGCTAGCCATGCTGAGTCAGAGAGCCCTAGAAGAAACACGAACAAAAGGATATCAGCAAGAGGATAGTTAAGGCTACTATCACATAAATGACGAACAGTCCACAAGGTCTGCGAAATATATTTGAAATAAAATCATATGGTAAACAAAATACCTAATGAAAATAATAAATAAGTGTCATGTCTGGAACCATGCCTTATCCTCTGATATGAATCCAATGCACTATTCCTTCCATAGGGCCTGTCAGTTCAGACTGGCTGATATTTAACACAACTGTCGATAGGAATAATATTGAAGATATGTGTGCACATTAAGTGCATGTTGTATCACTGGCAGCAGTTATTGCAAAGCTTTTCATCACAGCACTCTTGAAGTGTTTCAGGTCTGCTTTTTTGAGCATCATCCAGATTGCTGTCTAAAAGTGAACACTTCTCCCCACTGAAGTTATGGCCATAGATCTCTATATTAATCTATATGCGAAGTGCAATGCACTCAGTTGAAGAGGTAAAAGAGAGCAACTATTAATGAGGACTTCATTTCAAACGGATCTTGCAGTTTCATCACAGCACTTACCAGGTCAGTTACATAATACACAGGGATCTCACTTTGCCAAATAAAGTCTTAGCATTCAGTGTGAGCTAGTTAGGCTTTTTCTGTTGTTGCCGTGTTTATTCAAGCATCTGTTGTTCATTTGTTGGATTCTTTCACATATGAGGAGAGCCGTGGTAAACACGAAGTCACAGCATCATCTTCTCAAGTTTCACTACAGTCAGTGATAATAATTTGTTGTTAGCTTGACTGAATACATGTGCAATCACATATCTAAGAAATACTGTATGATTTTAGTCTATTATGTAAGGATGTAAGAAAGAAGAAATGGAATGAGATAATGGCCAACGAGAGTAAATTAAGGTGATGAAGACAGAGCAGAAAGGGTTAGATGTAATGAGGGGATGAGATGAGGTCAACTGAGATAAGATGAGAGATGAAGATGATTTGATGTGTGATAGAAGAAGATGAGACAAACAGAAGTAAAGAGAGAGGAGATTACAACAGAAGAGATTAGACCGAGATAAGACATGCTTTATTAATAACTTGGGGGGAAATCAAGTGTTATAGGACAAAAATGTCACTGAAATGAACACTCAACATCACAATACAGGCTGGTAATTGAGCTAAAAAGGTCTACAGATGCATCTGCATTTTGTGCATGCTTATTGACTGCAATATTATTGACAATGCATTTATGTGCTGCCATAACACTTTCCTTGCCCATCAAGGATTATAACTCAAAGTCACACACATCTACAGTCATCCACAAATCCAGTTTAGGTGAGTGTATACAACTTTTCATTACCAAAATGAGAGCATAAAACTCCTAGCCACAATTTCATTAATTTAAATAGGATATACTGTATGGGGCATAACAAGCAAACACTGTGTCTCAGCTTGATTTGAAAAGCTAATGATGGGAGGGATTAATGCCAAGTTCTGGAAGTCATTTCCTAATTGACTCCGAAGAAAAAACCCAAAGTAAGCACATTTAACTTTTGCTTGCAAAATAGAAATCTATAAGAGTTATCTATGTTCAGCAACATATTAAGATTGGTTACTATATCAAATCAGAGAGCAGGGTCACACTATTTAATACGATTAGACTGAAACACACTTTGGACACCTCTTTGAGATGAGATAGTTAGCATTGTTGCTGTATTTGTCATGTGCTTCCTCATTATGTCGCTATAATTTAACATCTCATAATTTTATAGGAACTTTCTATTCTAAGTCTATTACAGATTTATTGGATATACAGAGGTTTCAATACATTGCATGTTAGCCCTTAAGCAAAGTAGGTCATTACCTAATTCTAAATTCTTCACTCATTCTAGTATGCTGTCAAATCTACTACCTTTACTAAATGAATAGAGTAGACTAATTTATATTGACGAAATAGATTAAGTTTAGCGTTTGTGTCAGTTAAGCTCCATTTTCCAATTTAACAGTCTTCTGTACAGTCTTCCCTATTGTAGTTGTCTCGCTAACCTTAAGTTCAGGTAGAGCTGCCCTTCTATCATTACTCATCTTACCAGCTTGAAGCCTTTCATGAACACCATTACTTCAATATATATACTCTGCCCTGAACTTTTAACAAGACAAAACAAAAAGTAGGCCTAGAATATGTTTCTACTTCATAATAGGGGTCAAGTCGGCTGTTTTTCATTAGGCTTTGCAACTCAAAATAAGTTTGGCCTAAGCATTGTGTCCTTCATCAATCTGTAAAGCAAGCCATTCTCAGTTTATCTATCATCTTAATTTTCTATGTGCTCCATGAACCCTTTGTATCAAAAGTCTAAATAAGTAGTATTATTACAAATCCAAACAATCCAAGAAAAAAAGTTAGTAATGTGTCTAAATTGGCATGTCAGATTTGACATTTTGTCCACTCCATACATCATGTGACAGGAAGTAACAATCTATGTGACATTCTACGAACCTGCATTAAGATAATTAGCCGCATTTCTTGACATGTGTAAACCAACCGTATACGAACTTATGATACTAACATTACCGCACCGGAAATACTAGGGTCCACAAAGCGAGGGAATTTAGCGTACTCGCGGGTTCAATGTGGTTCAATAGTGAACAAAGTTGTATCTATTTGTTAGCGGCTAAATGTTATCATTACGTTACCGTGAACCCGTCCTTCTTTCCCACTGGCTGCGTCTGTCCGGACCTGTTGGGATTAGTCGCGGCATTTGTTGCATGTTATTTAACCCCAGCATTATTGATTGTATCTTAACTTTCTGCGCGGTATCAAATGCCCAGTCTGTACTACCATTGAAACATGGCCCGACTAATGTTCATCACCAAACACCCCGGAGCCATACTTCACACAGGGAAGGCCCAGTTCTTCTTCTTCTTCTTCTTCTTTGGTGTTTATTGGCAGTTGGCAAACCAACTTGTAGGTGCATTGGAAGGCCCAGTTAGAGCTGCTGCCTTTTTAAAAGAGAGCCCAGGACATCCAACATGTTTTAATGGTGAGTGAAGCTTTGGCATTGTTTTTCTATCAGCCAGGCCTACTTGCTTTTCTTGTGCTGGTAGCGTTACAATCTTGTGTGCACTACACCCATCTTTATCTGCCTGCTTTGCTCTTTAGTATCCATATTTACACAGTCTATGTTTGATCATGTGATGTGTAGTTTTCTATGGTAGGGTTTATGAATATTGGATGTAATTTGGGGTATGGCAGCATCTCAGACAAGAGTAATAGCCTTATAAACTGGACATCAAGTTAAAAAACATTCACAGAATTGTAGGACTCTACTACAATGCAACCTATTACATAATCAAAAAAAATGCAAGTGACACAATGGTGCAACAAATAAATAAATGCATTGGATCAACCTGATACTGAAGCTCTTGTCACCTTTCCTTATCATCTTTAATCAGTTCTGTTTCCATCATATGAGATAACTTACTTTTCTATTGCTAGTAGCCTTCTTTTCATATGAATATTCAATTTGTTTTTAAGTAGCCTATGCACAACATGCCGAGTGTATTTTCAGATATATATTTTAGCAAAAACAAGAGTCTTTTTGAACAAGTAAGTTTGTATTTTGTGCTGTAATTGGGGTTGAGCTTGCTTGCAGTTCTTCTCAGTCATGTCTTCATCCCTCTCAATTTCTTCTGCTCAGCTCATATGGAGTACCATCAAATATTTAACACTTACAAGCCAGGGAAGTAGGTTTTTGTGTCACTGAGACGATACGTTCACAGTCTAATGCTAAATATATCAGATGTAAAATATGTCTTCTGGATAATTAATACATTAAATTGTTTCACAGACAGGGTGATAATGTTTTGTGCATGTACAATAGAGTATATGGCAAATACACCTGTTTTTAGAAGAACATGGCTTTGATACATGCTTTATCCTTTATCTAACCGAGTTACGTTTTTTAAATACTGCAACTGAATAAATACTAGTTATAAGGCATGCATTTGGATATCTTTGAGGCTATGGGAAGGTTCACTCAACAATCAAAAAACATCGAAACATTTTCTAGTGCCTATAACACTGTGTATATTTATACAATATAATTACGGGAACATTTAGTCAATATAACTTTAACATTCATTTAAACTAACATCTCAAATTACAGTAAAGTTAATGTATGCAAGACTTGCTGCCCAAAATTATTTTTTTTGCACTATGGGAAAACTAGTGAAAATCTGAGCGTCTTTTAAGCTCAGTTGGAAGCATATTCCAGTTTGATGGCCATAAAGGAGACAGCAGATTGCATAGTGTGCTTCAATGTTTGCTGACGAAATTCAACATCACCTTGTTAGATTCTTGCTGGCAAGACCAGGCTCTTTTGATAATGCAGCGACA